AAACGTTTCTGTCCATTATCTATGTACTACTAACAGCTGGAGGTGGATGGTGTTCGATTCCACCAAAACCCCAAATGCAGCTAGCGCCCCTTGCTGCCTCGCTAAACAATCCTCTTACCAAAAACGGTCAAGACCTCTCTAATGCCTACCTTTCAACCACTCTCTCTTCTGCCACAACGCCTATGTAGCTTAACCGCTGCCTGCCTGTAGCTTTTGAACCTGTTTTCGTCCCTTTGCGCAAAAAAAACCCTACTGTCCCAGGTCTAACCTTATGCCTGTTTCTGCGGTTCATAATCTAGGCCAAAAAGAGGAGCGAAAAGGGGGTCGGATCCAGCGCGATGCCCAATCGAGACGAACAAGGCCTGACCCGCAGCAGTCGCAGGGAGATAGAAGCTAGTACTGTGCTTAAGCAACTTTTATTATATACAGCTATTCTCTACTATAGATAGCACCTATGTCTATTTCTCTCTTACTTAACTAAAGTAGCTTCTTAACGCCTAACACGCGTATATAGTATACAACCCTAGCAAGCATGTACAAGTAGTGCTTCACCCTGCACAGTCGCTGGGCCGGGGCATTAATACCTTAAGCACAGCTAGAAAGCGGAGAAACCTAGTGCATTAGTAGTAGTAGTAGTAGTGGTGGTAGTTGTTGTAGTTGTGATTGTAGTCGAGGCCTACAGCGGAACTGCAGAGACTGTGCGCGTATCCCTGTAAAGGAAAATCAAAATTAATTGCGCAGCCGCTAGGCTAGTGCATTGATGCCCTAAGCACATCTAGGAAGTGGAGAAACCTATTGCGTTAGTGGTGGCGGTGGTGATAGTTGTAGTTGTGGTCGACAGTCAGGGCTGGTAGCTGCTGCGCCAACAGCAGAGCTAGTGCGCGCATCCCCGCAAAGGAAAACTCACAATTAACTGCACAGTCGCTAGGCTGAAGTGTTAATGCCCTAAGCAGAGCTAGGAAGTGGGGGAAACCTGTTGGGTTGGTGGTGGTGGTGGTGGTGGTGGTGGTGGTAGTCGTAATTGCGGTAATGGTGGTAGTTGTATTGTCCTGGTCGACAACTGTGGCTAGTAGCTGCTACGCAAAATGCAGACCTTGTGCGCGCGTCCCTACAAAGGAAAACTCTAAATTAACCGCGCAATTGCTAGGCTAGGGTGTTAATACCTTAAGCACGTCTAGAAAGGAGAGAAACCTGTTAAGGTGGCAGTGGTTGTGGTTGTAGTCGTGGTCTACTGCAGAGCCTGTGCGCGCATCCCTGTAAAGGAAAATTAAATTAATTGCGCAGTTGCTAGGCTAGGGCATTGATGCTCTGAGCACAGCTAGGAAGTGGTGGTGATAGTGGTAGTTGCAGTCGTGGTCAACAGCCAGGGCTGGTAGCTGCTGCGCCAACAGCAGAGCCAGTGCGCGCATCCCCGCAAAGGAAAACCTACAATCAACTTCACAGTCGCTAGGCTGAAGCGTCAATGCCCTAAGCAGCGCTAGGAAGTGGTGAAACCTGTTGCGTTAGTGGTGGTGGTGGTGGTAGTTGTAATTGCGGTGATGGTGGTAGTCGTAGTCGTCGTGGTCGACACCCGTGGCTGGTAGCTGCTACGCGAAATGTAGACCTTGTGCGCGCGTCCCTGCAAAGGAAAAATCTAAATCAACCGCGCAATTGCTAGGCTAGGGTGTTAAAACCTTAAGCACAGCTAGAAAGGAGAGAAACCTGTTGAGGTGGCGGTGGTTGTGGATGTAGTCGTGGTCTACCGCGGAACTGAAGAGCCTGTGCGCGCCTTCCCGTAAAGGAAAATCAAATTAATTGCGTAGTTGCTAGGGTAGGGCACCAATGCCCTGGGCATAGCTAGGAAGTGGTGGTGATAGTGGTAGTTGTAGTTGCGGTGATGATGGTAGTTGCAGTCGTGGTCGACAGCCAGGGCTGGTAGCTGCTGCGCCAACAGCAGAGCCAGTGCGCGCATCCTCGCAAAGGAAAACTTACAATCAACTGCACAGTCGCTGGGCTGAAGTGTCGATGCCCTACGCAGAGCTAGGAAGTGGGGAACCCTGTTGCGTTAGTGGTGGTGGTGGTGGTAGTTGTAATTGCGGTTATGGTAGTAGTCGTAGTCGTCGTGGTCGACACCCGTGGCTGGTAGCTGCTGCGCGAAATGCAGACCTTGTGCGCGCGTCCCTGCAAAGGAAAAGCCTAAATCAATTGCGCAATTGCTAGGCTAGGGTTTTAATACCTTAAGCACAGCTAGAAAGTAGAGAAACCTGTTAAGGTGGCTGTGGTTGTGGTTGTGGTCGTGGTCTACAGTTAGTCGGGGCTGGTAGATGCTGTGCGAACTGCAGAGTCTGTGCGCGTGTTGCTGCAAAGGGAAATCAAAATCTACTGCGCAGTTGCTAGGCTAAGGTATTAATGTCCTAGGCACAGCTAGAAGGTGGAGAAACCTATTGTGTTGGTGGTTGTCGTGGTAGTCGTGGTTGTAGTCGTGGTCTGCGAGCGCGGGCTTGTCGCTGCTGCGCGAAATGCAGTGCCTGTGCGCGTTTTAGTGCAAAAGGAATAATAAAATCAACTGCGCCGTCGCTGCGCTAGAGCATTAATGCCCTAGGCACAGCTAGGAAGTGGAGAACTGTGTTGTGTTGGCGGTCGTGGTCGTCGTTGTGGTCGCTGAGGTGGTGGTCTGCGGGCGGCGCTGGTAGCTGGTGCGGCAAACCCGCAGAGTCCTTGTGCGCGCGATGCCTGCGTGCAGGAAAATCAAAATCCACCGCGCAGTTAGGGTTGCGACAGAACACCCCCACACCTGTACATTTTTGTAAAAAAAACACCAGCGGGGGCAAGTTTAGGTCAAAACCTAAAAGTTTGCCCACTATTATAATAGGGTCCAGGCACGGGATGGGGGACGGATTCCAGTCGTTCGCAGCCTCGCTTAGGCGGCGCGCTAAACGGAATAAGGAAATTAGGGGTTACGGAACCTTGGGGATCCGCGGGCATATATCGGATGAAGCAGAAAGCCCCGCCCCCTCTCATCCCTCCAGCTATTGCATACTTTGGCTAAGAAGATAAACTTGATGGCCTCCACAATGCCAAATCCAACTTTAGTCTTGAACCACCTCCTTCCTCTTAATGCCCTCGGATTGGGTTATCTTACATTATACCCTCAGGATCCAGCACAGGACTCGTATCTGCCTGATCCAGACTCGTTTTCGGACAGTGATGTCATCACGCAACACCTCGAGAACTTTAGCCACATCCTTGATCGAACCACCATCTCACGATTTCACGCCTTTTTATCAAGCGCAATTCGCTCTGCATACAGTAATAAAAATGTTTCCGAGATTGACATAGCCTCCGCTCTCTGTGTCACTCGTCAACTGAGGAACACCGAAGGGATTTTCCGGAAGATCTGCCAATTACCATCTGCTAGGCGATGGTTGGAGCGCGCAATCAGGAGAAGACAGCATGTCTATCTAGTTGTTGGGTTGAAAACGTTGACGGACGCCCGTATTAGTCAAGGGAAATCGCGAGCAATAGAGGCTGAAGCAGAAGTCAAGGTACCCACAACGCTGGCGGCTGCGGCAAGTGGGGTCGTATTGCCGTTGGGAGATCTTTTGGACGTGAGCGCAGGATTGTCCCACCAAAAGCAGGATAACGAAAAAATAAGCTTCGTTGCACCTGGAGAGCAAATATTTGCTGTCCAATATCGCAAGATTGAGTTTGCAAGATTTTCGGGTCGGGATATCGATAAAGCCTCTCTTGAGCTTGGCAACACTTGGAAAATCTACGTCGAGGCGAGAGGAGGGGAAGAGGAGGCGGAGGAAGTCGTCCATGCGAAGGTTTGCGAATACATCCCGACGACAGATGTGGACAGAGTGCCTTTCGAGAGTTTCGTCCTTGATCACGAAGAACTTTATTATCTCTTTTAATCTCAATAGCATCATATCGCATTCCAATGGACAGAAAAGAGTAATGAACGGCTAGATTTCTCAAAAGCGGGTGGCAGCGACTTGCTGTAAAGATCGCCACCCGGCTCCTCTCCATCTATTCTAGGCAGCGTTCTGCTTTTCTTATAGTTACTGACATTTGCCGCAAAAACTCACAGATTATGCTTCAACTGAGTGCTCTGAGCGAAGTAGTAAATTGAGAGCATTTTGATTTGAGTTGAGTGAGCGACTATCTATTTGATAGATGTATTTGAAAGCAAATGAACGAATATGGCACGTTGAGATAGATCATAAATTGAAGTAAGCGAGTGGCAATTCAAAAGAGAGCATAGCCAGAGATATGGAGGTACCGGGAGTCTGCCCCGATTACAATTGTACCGGCTGTTGAGGGCGGAGTGAGAAGGGTATATGACGGACAGCATAACGAATGCAACGGCCTCGAGATTCAGGCTGGAGATCTCGTGCTTGGCCGGACGCCAAGTGGTAAGTGATCCTTTCCAAATAGGAAACCCCGCCTCTAGCCTCAATAGACCTTTTCGGATCTGCTAGATGCTCGAGGCTAACTTCCTCGCTCGACATCACAAATACTAGCGTCTCTTCCACATGCCCTGCTTTCGGAACAGGCCCCGGCCAAGAGAGTCCCAGCCCTCTAATGCCGCCGCCGAACTGTGCTTTCCCGAGCATGTAATTGTCATCGGACACCAGTTCAATCCCTCTTGGCGATGTGCCCGATACCAGAGTAATCGTGCCGGCGACATTAACATCGAATACGGACACAAAGACAGTACTGTTCCCGCCGTTACGAAGCTTTATGTAGACTCGCTGGTTTTCTGTCACATTAGCTGTCCCGTCCTGTTGAAACTTTTCCACGCATGTGCCATTGTCAACCCGGCCGAATTCGATTTCCACTGCATGGTCAAGCTTTTCGTCGTTTTCTCCACTTCCAAGGGTAAGAAGGTGATGTCCTCGAGCGAGCCTTTCCCCATCATCGACAATAGCCTCAATCGCTGCCCCTCTTGTGGCATCGGTGAACTGGTGCGAGGTTAGCACCATTTCTCCCTTGCACACCACAATGCGTTGCCCTTCTTTCTTGATATTAACCAGAGCCTGCTTCTCGCCAGGCTCACCGCATCGGAGGAATTTAGATTGCCCAAGTCGTACTCCAAGAGTCGGGAGATCGTCCGGAAATTTTACGAAAAGTTTGGGCAGAGCCTCCTTCTGCAAGAAGGCAAGACCTCCTTCCGCGGGGATTCTTCCGGAAGTTATCTCAACCATTGCCTCAAACCCATTGACGTACCTGACTTTCACCTCTGCGACCCGTGTTTCCCTGTCTACCAGCTCCGACCCGAAAGGCATGATGTCATAAACACTTCCTTCATGGACACCCGCGACTCTTCCCCCCTGGAGTATCGCATCGCCATGCTCCAATTTCACAAGCAAGGCTCTGGACGTCATGTGTTCCTTTGAAAAGAGTATGCGTGTGTTAGGCCCTTCGGCTCGGGGGTGCTGTTGAGGGAACTCTCTGTTGACAATCTCGCTTACCCCGAGGAGAAGGGTTCTCCACGATAACCGTTGGTCAAGTGCTTTATCGATGGCAGTCGCAAGCGCTTCCGTCAATACTCCTATAGGCTGGCCCTGCAAGCCCTGATAACTCCAAGCAGTTTCGGTAGTTGATGCTGCTGCTATCCGTACAGCGTGTGGGTTACCCTCTACAAAGGTGTCTCCCGTCAAATGCCCTTCGCGCCGAAGCCGCTCCATGTGGCTTAGTAGCACGCCGTGATGTTTGACTTCTGGCAGATTCCGTGCCCACGCTTGATTATTGTGATGGGGGTCACGGGCCATGCGCCCCGCATGACAGCAGTCCAATATGATCGTGACATTTTCTGTTTTGTTTGTCGTGTCCCTCAGCATGTACGATATTTCGATGTCCAATATCCCTCTGAAATCGTCCTCCGTCGTCTTGTCGAAGTCCATCGGGACTAAGAACTGGGAGAGTAGCGGCTTTTCGGATCCTCCTTGCCGATCACATGTGTTTTGACTCGACTTAACCACGCCGCCATGTCCCGAATAGTAAATGATAACAATATCATCGGCAGAGCTCTCAGAAATGAGTTTTTGCCATGCACACAGGATTTGGTTTCGGGTAGCATCGTCACCACAACACTTCACCACCTCGAACTCATACTTTTTGAGGACACTGGCCATTAATTCGACGTCGTTCTCCGGTCCGCGGAGTCCGCCATAGGGACTGGCGATGAGAAGTGCACGACTTTTCGAAGACATGGCCGCCTTGTGAGCGTTGCGTGCTGTTCGAAAAAGGACGTTGGAGCGTGGAAACCAGCAACCGTAGAAGAGCGGTGGATATGCGAGATAAGAGCAGTCGTATGGAGTGCGATTTAAAGGCAGACTGAACACTGGGGATTCGCTAGGTCAGGTCAGTTTTCTATTTTAACCTTACCTTCTTAATATCTTGACGCAGGAAACTTGCGGAGAAACGTTTCGATGGGTGAGCGATGTGGGGACAATGCTATTCGTCGCCTGTGATGACGCAGAAAGTCGTCGCATCAGGTCGCCAACAGAACCATGCGCTGCCACTGTTCGTCTTCGGGCAAGGTGCGTTGCCACTGGCGGCAGCCCGACATCCAGACTGTTCAGCTGCGTTATTACCGCCGAGCATCTTCTTTAGAGACTGAATAAAGAAATAAGCAGAAAGAAGTAACTTTTGGTGGCGTTGTAGCGGTGAAACAGCTTCAACATACTCTCGAAGCGAGGTGTAAAAGCAATATGAAGTGTCTACGGAAGTTGCGCGTTGCCTATCGCGCCCAAAACGGGAGCAGTTAACAGTCAAATTACGCGAGTATCCAACATGCGAGCCGATTTAAACCACTACATCGACAGCATAAAAGAGGCACGGCTGCATTTAGCCTGCCGTATACGTCTCAATCTTCGGTTTTGACGCTTTGTTTTCCTGTTTAGGCCGCGTCACGTGGACACAGCTTGCCGTGACGGATCTGTCTGTTTTCACCGTATCTACTATATCATACAGTATACCCCAGAGAAATCCTATCTGTTCAACCGGTTCTACCTAGCATCTGCTAGAGCTCGTGACGTTAGCCAGTGAATTCTCGACAACCGACAAAGTAGTTGAGAGGGAGCGCGCATAAGGTGTTGATTACGGGGCACAAGTCGATGCGAGGGACGACTGACGTTTGCGTTACAAGACAACCTCGAAGCAGCAGTTTGCCAGGCATAAGAAGCGATGGTGTCCACTCTACTCGATTATTTTAACGAAGCGATGGATCTAAATAACCTCGACGCCAAGCTACCTGGGGAGTCTACAAGGATGGGAAATACAGACGACCTCGACGCAGCCATCTCGAGAGCCGAAGAAGCGCTGGCGTCTACTCCCCTCAGCCACTCCGACCGAGCGATGTATCTCGGTAATCTTGTGGCCATGCTTTCTGATAGATACAAGAGAATGGGAAATGCAGACGACCT